AGACAACTGTTACACTATATCGGTGAGACTTGGACTCGTGTCTGAACATGGGCAGTGGCATAGAGAGCTTGTTCACTAATATAGGCAAAAAAATTAACCAAAAAAAGCTCGCTAAAGTCTCTATAATAATTTGTAGATGTCTACGGGCTCCGGTAACCACTTAACATCAGGTTAAGTCCATCCACCTAAGCAATAAAAAAAATATTAGAATTAGTAGAAACAAAATCGTTAATAGAAGTATGATAAATGTCATCTCAGATTTTGGCATTCCGGACAATCAACTTACATTTTCAAGAGAACAAGAAAACAGAAATCATACGCAAGACGCCTCGTGAATTTCTAGAGTAAGTGAAATCAGGTCGTAATTATATATAAAAAAATAGACATATGTCGAAAATGAATCTACAAAATGTTCACATAAAAAATTGTAAACCGCAATTCTGAAATTATCAAACGATAAATTTACAATCGAACGAAAAAAAAAGTTTTAAATTAAATAATTTGCTAAAACTTCTGTTACTTATTGCCAAAAAAAAAAACGACATTATAAATTCTTAACACAATAACTAGCGTTGTTCTTTATTGAGGTTATCCCAATCTAACATATTTTTAGTGCAAATAATTTTTTTATCTGTATGCCACGACCTTGCTCCCAGCTATCGCCAAAAATTGCTAGTCCTAACGCGCTGATAACTAGGTAGTCTAGAAATAATTTAAACGGCAGAAATATAATATTAAATAAAACAAATACAGACGACTCACCGCCGAAATCAAACCACACCTCTTAAACACAACACAACACTAAATGTACTACACACTGGATTAATCGTGTATGTATTTTTTTCTTTTCGATAGGCGCCAAAACTTGTGTGCAAAATGTCGGTTGACGTATTGCGTATGCACATCGCGCGGTCGCCGGCCGTCGCCGACTGACCACGGCGCTCACGCAGTCGACCTGCAAGACGCGGGGGGCGCTGCCATAATAACACCGCCGAAAATTCACAACGAAAAAAAAAAAAACGAAAAAAAAAACTAAAATGGCTGCTCCCGTATCTCGGCGTATGCTAATCCATCGTCCCTTTTTTCCGGGTGGTGGGGGGGTGGATGCAATTAAAAAGCCGCGCGTGCGTGTGGGGGCGCGATTAGAAACGGGATGGCGGAATGAGTCTGCCACCGNAAAAACGAAAAAAAAAAAACTAAAATGGCTGCTCCCGTATCTCGGCGTATGCTAATCCATCGTCCCTTTTTTCCGGGTGGTGGGGGGGTGGATGCAATTAAAAAGCCGCGCGTGCGTGTGGGGGCGCGATTAGAAACGGGATGGCGGAATGAGTCTGCCACCGTTTTTTTTTTTTTTTTTTATTTTTTTTTCTAGTCTGGCATTGAATGCTGGTGGCAGGTGGGGGCACATCGTCTGCCTTCCCTATGAGATTAGCGAATCGATGTTGTACTAGTACAATAGTTTAGTAAGATTGTACCTGATTCACTCTTAATGTATTTTAGTTTCATATTCTACGATATCAGAACCATTCATATTAAAAATAACGTCAGTAAAACACTATTATGAAAATAGAGGGAGTGTTTAGCTGTGTGTCAACAAAAAAAAAAGTTCACTATGAAAGTCTATGGCTAAAATTTGGGATTCTAAGAAATGCAATAAAACAAAAACAAAAAAAAAAGAAATATTCCGTTGGCATAACGCGCCACGAGGACTTGTCAAACTCGATTCTTTTTTCAAAAGTATAACCCCTATTTGGAATATAGTCGAAAAATCTATGGCAAATTACTTTCTTTATTATTAAACTTTTTTACACAATTGACAATGGGATGACCAGTTGCGGACGACGACGATCAGACGTGGGGTCCATGCAACGATTGAGACGCTGCAAGCTCTGTCTTGCTGCCAAGCTGAGCTTGCAAGTTGCGCGCCAATATAACAAATGTATCTCCCCTACTATAACGGTGCGTTCAGAAGAACGTATGTGGCGTACGAAATTTTTTCGCACTGAATTTGACATAGTTTGCCGGCTCATAGATAAAATGCGATAAGATAATGCACGGTTATACAATGTGTAGCTAGGAATTTTAATTTCGCGTGTTTTTTTAATTTAGATTCGATTTTTATTTCATTAATATTAATTAGAGCCAAGAGTTGAATTGTTGCATTCAAACGAAGCCAATAGCTCTAGTTCGGCCCCTCGTAGGAGACCACTAGCTTGATGATGAAAAAGTTATATCCACTGCTGAGCAAAGGCGAATGGAGATGTCTTCTCTGAATTAGTCCTTGTCACATCGCCGAGTTACTACTTTAACAATATGTTCTATTGAGACGTACTGATTTGGGTGGCTTTAAAAAGAGTTAAAGGAGATTATTAATTAAATTTAAGTTGAGAGAGCAGTCTCTATAGGAATACGAAAATTAGATCGTTTGCCTCAAGGCAGCGGTATGACCATGAGACACGATGCTTAAGTGTCAACTCAATTAGACTCACGGTAAATGAATGTAACGATAGACATTTTCTGTATGCTGATATAAGATTATTAAAAATGTTTTATTATCAAAAGCGTATACTATTTTATAATATTTAAGTAAGCAACGTTTCCCATTGACTCGTCATCATTACACAGTATAAAACAAAGTCGCTTTCTCTGTCTATATATATATCCCTATCTATGTATGCTTAGACCTTTAAAACTACGGAACGGATTTTGATGCGGTTTTTTTAATAGATAGAGCGATTGAAGAGGAATGTTTATATGTATAATAATATCCATTCAATAGTGGAGAAATCAATAATAAATTACAGTTTCCGAAGCGAAGCGAGGGCGGGTCGCTAATTAAATATAAAATAAAAAAACATATTTGTTGAGACGAATCGCGTACCACCTACCAAACATTAATGCTGCTCTACCAGAAACAGTTTTGAGGTATAAAAAAACCACAAAGTTTCAAGCTCAGGTGGAGAAAAGGCGCGTAAACCTACAACACGACAAACAAACCTAAAAACACGAACAGCAATGTAATCAAATCAATGAAATATTTCGGAATTATTTATTCTTTTTCTGAAAGATTTAAAACATACCAAAAAAAATTAAATAAACACGTACCATCGAAGTAATTTTTTTTTTATTTTTTTTTATTGCTTAGATCGGTGGACGAGCTCACAGCCCACCTGGTGTTAAGTGGTTACTGGAGCCCATAGACATTCACAAAGTAAATGCGCCACCCACCTTGAGATATAAGTTCTAAGATCTCAAGTATAGTTACAACGGCTGCCCCACCCTCCAAACCGAAACGCATTACTGCTTCACGGCAGAAATAGGCAGGATGGTGGTACCTACCCGTGCGGACTCACAGGACGTCCTACCGTCAGTAAAATTAATATATTATAGTTTTAGTCTACGATTCGTCAAATTCGAAGAAAATACAGTATTATTTTAATTTTAGGTGTTGCACTGTTTCGATCACTAAAATTCAAACTACCCAATGTCGATTTCTTCAAATTCAATGTCGTTTACTATCTACATTAAAATTTCACTGTTTCATCGCTGCACACTGATACCAATTTTTTTTTAACGCATTATCTTTTGATGCATTATTATCAAATTCTAATTTGTTTACGACGCAAATCCTTGAATGTGTGAATTGTTTTTTTTCTTCTGTATCTAACTTGATTTAAAATCACAATATCTTTTCCAATTATGAGTTTTTTTTTTCTATAGGAGAGCCGTCGTCAGTGAGTTGTATAGCTATTAAAAAAATGGAAAATTATTGAGTTTTTTTATCTACCGGCGTTGCCTTGGTGAGAAATACTAAATTTAGTTTGAAGCTTTCTTTAACTAAAGACCGATATTACATATAATCTACGACATTTTCATAACGAAATACTAAATGTGATTCTTTGTAATTTTATTTGTGTATTTTTGCTATAGAAAAACTGGTTATAGTAATATTTTATGTTTAGAAAATAGTGAATTCAAACATTATTATTGTGGATATATATTATATCACTGACTATGTAAAATGTACAGTATTCGAAATTTTGTTTGTTTAAAAAAATATATATATATATTTGTATACACGACCTCACGGTCCACCTGATGTTAAGTGGCTACCGGAGCCCATAGACCACTACAACGTAAATGCCGCCACCCACCTTGAGATATGAGTTCTAAGGTCTCGGTATAGTTACAACAGCCCATCAAACCGAAACGCATTACTGCTTCACGGCAGAAATAGGCAGGATGGTGTTACCTACCCGTGCGGACTCACAGGACGTCTTACCATCAGTAAAATTAATATATTATAGTTTTAGTCTACGATTCGTCAAATTTGAAGAAAATACAGTATTTTAATAGATTTAAAAAAGAAAAAAGCGGTAGGAAATTTTTATTGCGAAAAATTTAATTTACTAAATTAAAATAAATAAAAAACTTTGATTGTTGATTCACGAAAACTCATATTAATAGTGAAATTCATTGTCGATCAACTTTAATTACCATTTATAATCTATTTTACTTCTAAAATTAAAAACGTAACTAAAGAGCATAAAATTTACATACTAATTTGTTTTATTCAATTTCACAAATGCCACACGCATATAACGCGTAGTTTGTCGAAAAGTTTCTTTTTCAATTATTTATGCAAAAGATTCTAATGATGAGGTCGGAGCCAAGTTGCAGGATAGCTAAGCCCTCGCATCCACGGTTGGACACCTCAAAAAAACTATTAACATTATAATAACCTAGTTTTTTCGAAGGGTTGGAACTAATTGTTGTCCGAAGATTATTTATTTATTTATTCAAATTCTCAGAAGTTTGGACGTTCTCAGAGCGAATAATGGTATTTGTGTTAATTATTCATAATCTATGTTTAAAGCTTTTAGCTTGTAACGTGCATTTCCGGATATATTTTTTTGAAGTTAAAAAATAAGAAGTCCGTGCAGAATAAATATTTTTGTGCATAAATTTAGTTTGTAAAATAATAACTTGAACAAACTTACCTCGCGGAGGGGCTGGACAGGACACAGGGCGCGAAATTTTAATGAAAACAGTCAACAAAACTTCAACAGAGTCACAAACCGAAAATCGTGGTCCGATTATGAAACGCAGCAAACAAACTGGCCACTAAAACAAAAACTAAACGTACGGAATATTGCGTGGAACGGAATGTAGTGGAATGTCCACACACGCACGTGACCAAACTTTGATAAACTTTCAGCAGAAAGTTTCCCGACACGCGCCCGATAGTTCCACGCGACGCGCTCTCCCAACGAAACTTTCAAAATATGCGAACCGATATAATTGCAGTTTAATGACTAATTCCTAATTTATTTTTTCTGGTAATGTTTTTTTTATTATATTTTTTTGAGAGGCGTCCGCCCGTCCGGTCCGGTCCGGTCGGTCTGCAATATTAACACGAGCCGCGTCCACCTTTTGTAATGAAACGTTCACACATGCTTCCGCATTACCGTCCGATGCCATCAATAATGAAGCCGGGCGGGAAAAAACAAAACGGGCCACCTCTCCCGGCGAGGTGCCCGCCGACACTACAGCCTCCTCGTCAAAGATCAGAATTGCATATCTGGGTTGCGTTAATGAGCGAGGGGTGGGCGCCGTGGGGGGGTCGAAAAAGTGGCACCGCTCGCGCGCGAATATAAATTCATCGCCAAAAAATCATTACGCGGGGGGTGGTATTACGAGCGCTCGCTGCGCGGGTTTGTTCGTATAGTTTTTAAATCGGGCCCGCTCATTCGGCGGAGCGGCGCCGCGGCGGGCGGAGGCCGCTGTACTGCCGCCCGGACTGCACCCGCGGCCCAACTATCACGCATGCACTGCCCTCACTACTCCACACGACACGCAACAAACTTTTCAAAGTTTAGGATCGGCCACCTGTGACGGGACGCGTGCCGGCCGCGCTCTGGCACCGTCTACTACGCAGCGATTCGACTCGAATTAACGTTACGAGAGATTCAACTTTTTTTTTGTAGCACAGAAAGAGAAAAAGGCTCGGAGAGTATGCAAATTCCTGTTTTCCACGACGATCGTAATCAATTTGTGCGTAGGAAGCGCGGCCGCACTTCCGCGCGCACACTCATGTGACAAGAGAGGAGTAAAGAGGGCAAGAGGGGAGGGGGACGAGTGTGCGAGCCAAATTAAATCTAATACAAAATTGCGTTTTATGTTCACGCTAGTGCGTGTAGGTGTGTGTGAGGGTGTACAATGCGAACTCGCGCCTAGTACACTCGAACACATAATTACGTAGTAATTGAACAATTCTATAATTAGCTCATTATTAAAAAAAAAACACCGATGCAATTATACTTAATGAACTGGATTGATAGTATCGGCAGCTGAGATCAGAAAATCTTACGTGATCGTAGTTTTTCGGGTTTTTGCGATTTCAGGATTACCAAATTTTACACCTGCTAAGATTATATTAAATTAGAACCTTCCAGTAAACTATTAGATGAAAACAGGAAACCACTTTTTTAAATAACGTAAATTGAACGCAGAAATATGGAGGGTTGGAAGGGAGGTACCAGAATAGAAAATGTTGAACAACACAAGATACTGATTCGGTAAAAAATCCTCATAAAGTACACACTCAAAAAATTTAAAAATTAACTAAATCATTAATTAACAAAAACACAAAACCTAATACTGAATCAGAGCTACCAACAAAACTCACAGCTAAAATAACGCGGCACCGGCAACATGAGAATAATAAAGGTCTCCTCCGCATTTAGTCAAATGATAAACAGCGCGACTGTACTTTTAAAACGCACACAAGCTTAATGTTAAAAATGAATTACCAACACAGCCCCGCTCCCCCCACTACACTCATTTTCATTTCGATGTTTTTGGGGTTTTTGCGCAGATGGGGGGTGCGAGCCCCAACCACCCCCGCCCTATGAAAATAGGATATATTTTTATGTTTTATTTGCCCGGAAGACTGTAGTTTAGTTGCATGTTTATTAGAAGTTTTTATTAGTAGGAACAGAGGTACGTTTTCTGTCAGTTTTTTGTGGGTTTCCGGGTTACATGATGATTTGCGATGACAGATGTATACGGTTTGGTCACGACATGCCGTGGATCCAATACCGTTTACCTACGAGACTCGATAAAATTCATGAACTATTTATTCATTGACGTACTGTTCAGTAAACAACAGCTAATGTCTATTGTGAAAATTAATTATAATAAAATTAATAACAAACTTAATAATTAGGACTATAAAAACCTTTGTACTTAACTCAATCGTGCTTACATTGTTGTTCTCAACTCCGATCGGATATCCAGATTTATATAATAGAATTTTTCATTTTTATCTCGTTTATTAACAAAAAGTCAACTGTTCAGTTGTTATTTGTTTACTTTCCTAGTCTTGAAATATTTTCATCTCAACGTAGATAAAGGGTGGGTGAGCTTACGATCTACCTGATGTTGAGGTATTAAATCAAAATTTAAGTTATATGACGGTTACCCGTCACAACATGTCCTTCAAACGAGACTTGTGGAGAGTATTAAATGATAGGCAGCGGTTTGGCTCAGCCCCTGGCATTGCTGAAGTCCATGGGCGACGGTAACCACTCACCATCAGGTAGATGGTATGTTGGTCTGCCTACAAGGGCGATAAGAAAAAAACAACTACGTGCTCTGTGTGCTTAGTGCGAGTTTTTAACGTCTTCGACCGCGTAAAAGTTAACTCAAATTTGTATGGAGTTGGAAGAGCTTCCCGTGGTTTGCCGTCAGTGGCGCTGTTACAACTCCATACAAATTTGAGTTAACTTTTACACGATCGAGAAGTTAAAAAACTCGCACCAAGCACACGACATACGTGAAATTTTCTTAAATATAGAAATAATTGTGACTTTTTATTCTATTTTAGTTCAGTGGTATATGGTAAAATATAGAATTTACGACTTAATTCTGTTTTCATTTATTTTTCTGAATTTCCTGATTAAATTGACCGTAAAAGCTTTCAGTATATATGTCGTTATATGGTTACCGGAGCTCGTGGACAACAACGTATATACTGACATCCACGTTAAGACATTAGTTCTAAACCTCACTTCTATACATACAACGACTGCCCCACTCTTCAAGTCGGAACACATTACTGCTTTAAGACAAGAATAGACAGGCCGGTGGTGGTACCACGAGGGCTCACAAGACGTATACCATCAGTAAATGCGCCATAAACTTTCCCGGAATCCATTCGCAAACGGAACGCCACGATATATTGAGAAATATATAATATTTGTATATAATAACATAATAGAACATAGTCGTCTATTATCAAAGGTGGCAATCTGTACATTTGGACAAAAAAATGTTATTGATATGTCAATACAGATTGATTTGAATATAGTCGTCTCCTTCAAAGAATACGGTTCAAAACCTGCATTAAATAAAGGTTAATACTTAACCTGTTATTTATCTAAGATGTCGTTCAGAAGAGTTTTGTGACTGCCAATGGAATACAAAGTCAATAATTCGTTTTGCTGATTTACCAATAATTGTCCAAAAATTGCCGGCTTTGATAATAGTCAACTCATATATGCGTATATATGTTGATGCAAATAGCGTCTAAATTAACTATGAACGTAGCAATTAATTTAAGGTTAGATATTAGAAAAACTGCCCACGCTAGGACTTTGAATCGATGTGACGTCATCCATGTTCATTGTGCAATAATTATTGTCCACAAGCAGTTTTGAGAAAACAATGTTTTTGTACTTTGCCTATTGCAAAATCTTACGACGAGCTGGACGTATTATAGTAAATGAAGATTAGGTAATGAAAAAAAATAATCAAAAAGTAATCTGTGACAATAAACACAAAAATAGATTAAATCAATAAAACTATAAGCCACAATTATTAACACCATCGTCAGACATCGTAGGGGCGAATAGGGTGATCGATCTAAGAGAAATATTGAGTAGACCAATCACGTTTGTTATCTTAGAACAATTTAGAAATCTCCTCTTGACGTTAGCAAACGAAAATGAATGAGAGTTCTAAGGATGGAGGCTCTTCAAGAAGGCTGGTTGGTAAGTGTGTAATGGAGTCTATGCGCATCCATCGGCTAGGCTCTGTCGTAGCACGAAGTTAGCCGAGTACCGACGATAATCGTGAATCGTGCTGCGTTTCGTTTAGCTACCAAACCATGATCGTCTCTAACATATATAAATAAATGGAAAGGCGACAGCCCTAGCACCCTAAGTTATTCTAAGAGTGCTTTGGAGGTAGCTCGTATTGTCCGTCCACATGGGTAAGTACCATCATTCTATCTGTTCAGATTTTGACCTTGTTTCTAAAGTTGAGCAGCAGAACCGTATTTAACACCAGATGAGCTACTAGTCCGTCCATGTACAGTGCAATAAAAACAGTAGCTTAAGTCCACAGTTTTCGCAACTTCTAAAATTCTTTGCACGCTGTTTTCCCGGCGCTGTGCAATTCCTTCTCCAAACGAGATACAGAAAGTAAAGTCCTTTGATTGAAATCGAAGCTCGAATTATTATTTTGCTAATGCTTGCCTCTACCGTTTATAGTAATGCCTAGATTGTTTTCGAAGAGATAGGAGGAGGGGCCTTTCTGAAAAGACACGTGTTGCGTTAATTCAGAATTAAGAATATAACGGTTTTGGACTTTTTTTATTGTTTAGATGGCTGATGTTAAGTGGTTACCGGAGCCTATAGTCATCCACAACGTAAATGCGCCACCCACCTTGAGATATAAGTTCTAAGGTCTCAAGTATAGTTACAACGGCTGCCCCGCCCTTCAAACCGAAACGCATTACTGCTTCACGGCAGAAATAGGCAGGGTGGTGGTACCCACCCGCGCGGACTCACAAGAGGTCCTACCACCAAAAACCTTCAAATCGTTATATTGAATTTGAATTGTGGTCATATAGTGGATGATGATTGTACCACCAGAAATCTCAAATGTATCGTATAACTACTGCCCCAACCCTTCAATCGTCTTTTTTACTGGTGGTAGGACCACTTGTAGTCCGCGCGGGTAGGTACCAAAACTCTGCCTATTTCTGCTGTGAAGCAGTAATGCGTTTCCGTTTGAAGGGTGGGGTAGCCGTTGTAACTATACTGAGACCTTAGAACTTATATCTCAAGGTGGGTGGTGCGTTTACGTTGTAGATGTCTATGGGCTCCAGTAACCACTTAACACCAAATGGGCTGTGAGCTCGTCCACCCAT